GTCTGACGCGTCTGCCTCCGCGACCCGAAAGGAGAAGCGGCGATGGAAGATGAAGATGAAGATGAGTATGAAGGTATTTAGAAGCAGTTCTCTGACTCAGTTGAGGGTTGCAATGATGTTAGATTTTTCAATAATGGCTGCACAATCGTACTCTGCTGACTACCATTCTTGTGTGTACATCGAAGTTTAGGCTTTTGTCGCTGGTAATACCGAAACAGCTTGTCCTGAGAACCATGTAATTCCTTTGGTTCTGCAGCGAAACAGTGGAGAAGAGGTAACGTATTGCCGAAATGCCTGCTGATCCGGTAAAGACGTTCTTCGGTTTTATTTTGAAAAATGAATAAGCCATTTTTCCTGACCAATCCTGGGTAAAAATAACTGCGCACAAACAATTTAGGAGGTCATCTACTGAAGTAACTGTGCCAGTAACTGTGATGCATCAGAATATTATATGTGTTTGTTCGGAGAGTCGACTTTGCATGCACTTGTATATATTTTAAGAGAATCAGAGATAAGACTGGCCTCAGCAGAATTCTTAAGTTATTTCGTGGAGTAGGGGAACTCCGTACAAACTGAGTGCGATTAGAAAGATATTTGCAGTATCAGTGGCAGATATTTAGACTAATATCGCGATAACAAAGAATTGATGAAACCTTTTCACGACGCACATGTTAAATGTATTGCTGTAGTTTAGAGATAGGCATCAGATAATAGGAGCGCCTTTACAAAAAAATTTTTGGCAATGGCCAATGGCATTCGTCAGACGTTTTAAGACATCAACACAAACTCTATGCTTTTTGTAGGCGAGTAGGGAAGTTAATCTGCTTGTTTCATAAGTACCGATGCGATAATGTTTCCACGCACTTAAAAGGATATTACAGCAACTGAACTCAAATGCTCGGCGACTGCGGGCATAGGTTTCTTTGGCACTGACGTGATCTCTGCGACGCGCCACAATTTCGGAATATTTCTTGAATTATGGCTGCAATTGAAGATACCGGAAAATAAACCACGTTACTCGTTCGCATATTCCTTTAGAATCAGCGCATCCACGGTATCAAAACCTGACACCACGCAGCTGCGTAATCCAGAAAAACAGTTACATACTTCGGCGTCTTTTGGGCTTGCTAAATGAAACTTCTAGGTACTGTTGCGGGCTAGCTCAACGAACCTTCACGTTATGCCGTTTATTGGTTGCTTTCCTTCCAAAATGTGACTGATTAATTCTTCTATGGCTAAGGCGCAGCTTTTTGACATTTCTGAAGCCAGTTAGAGTAG